TTAATTATATTTAATATGACTTGAAATTGTCTGGAAAAGTTTAATACTTTGTCCAAAAGAATTATAAAAAAGAAAAGTAAACATGTTTCATAATTATATAATTAGCTACCAAACCCCCCCAAAAAAGAGAAAGAAAGAGAGAGGGATAGAAGACTATGAAGAGTGTTTATCATCCTCAAAAAATAAAAACAGAAAAATGGGAGTGGAAAGAAGAAGAAGCAGATTTAATTATATTTAATNGATAGAAGACTATGAAGAGTGTTTATCATCCTCAAAAAATAAAAACAGAAAAATGGGAGTGGAAAGAAGAAGAAGCAGATTTAATTATATTTAATGACTTGAAATTGTCTGGAAAAATTTAATACTTTGTCCAAAAGAAATATAAAAAACAAAAATAAACATAATTATAGTTAGTAACCAAACCCAAGAAAATAGAAAAAGAGAGAGAGATAGAAGACTATGAAGAGAGTGTTTATCATTCTCAAAAGAAAAAAAAAAGAAAAGAAACCAGAAAAAAAGGAAAAGGAAGAAGAAKAAGYAGATTTAATTATATTTAATGACTTGAAATTGTCTGGAAAAGTTTAATACTTTGTCCAAAAGAAATGTTAGAAGAAAAGAAAAATGAAAAAGTAAAGATGGTTTCATAATTCTAACAGCTAACGGGCAAGCGCAAAAAAAAAAAGCATGCATGTAAGAAAGAAAGAGAGAGAGAAAGAGAAGAAGAAGAAGAAGAAGAAGAAGAAGAAGAAGACTTTGAAGAGCATGTGCGAAGAAGCTATCAGTCCGCAGTCGCGATTTGACACTTGACCCTTGACGTTGACCAATACGATTTGCGGTACAAGTCGTGATCTCGGTAGATCTCTCTCTAGGAAAGCATTATTATTATTATTATTATTATTATTCCCATTTATTTTCAATCTTCATCATATTAGTTAGTCCGTCTTTTAAACTCGTCGTCTTATGTTTAGTATAGTTGGTCGTTATAATTTTAATCGTTGATTGTTGGTCTCCACCACTAAATTTATGTTTTACTTCTTATACATTAGAATATTATCCGCGTAAAGAATAAAAAACTAATAGTAATAATACGATACCGAAATAAAATTAACACATTAAAATTAATATAATAAGGTTTATAAATCATTCTATTAAAAATTCTCTCTCTCTATCTCTCTCTCTCTCGTTAATTAATAATATTACGAAAGATAAAAAGTAAAACGGTTTGTTTTGTTATTGTTATTGTTGTTGTTGTTGTTGTTTAACCGGACGACGACAGATTAAAAAAATAAAGTTATTGAAATAGAACAAAAAAAAAAGGAAATACGAAACACTAGTGATAAAAAAAAGTAAAGAAATGTATCTCAAGGCCGAAAGGATAATACTTTACATGAGGAAATTTCTTAAAATGAACGTTAACATTTTTTAAATGAGGAATGCTCGGTATTGTTTTTTATTTTTTTTTTTGTTTTTTTCATTAAATTAACTGTTTTCTTTTTTTTTTTTCGTCGTTAACATCGTTGTTATTGTTTATTCAAAGAAGATAAATTTCATTTATCTTATGTGTATATATATGTATGTATGTATGTATGTACGTATATATGTAGGATCGATTATGTTATGATATCCAGAAGAGATACATCTTTTTTAAGAAATTGATAAACCGGTAAGTAAATTTGCTTACTTTCCATTTTTCCTTTTTGATTTAATTATCATCCCTCTCTCTCTTTCTCTTTCTCTCTCATCAAAATAATAATAATCATAATAATAATAATAATAATACTAATACTAATAATAATAAAAATAATAGTAATTATTCTACACACACACACATAAACACAGACATTACAACAATATATTTTATTAATTATTTATTAAAATTAATATACGATAAAGAAAGAGAGTGAGAGAGAGAGAGAGAGAGATAAAGGATCTTGTTTGTTTCTCTTTTATTTTGTTTTTAACGTGGCACGATCGATAAAAAAGATCTGATGCAGTTTTTTACGAAAAAAAAGAAAGAAAAAAAAAAAGTTGATATACGCGCGAAGTCCAGATACATGCATACAAACACACACAAACACGTAACTTTTCTTTTTCTATTATTGTCAGCTTCGACAGTCTTATCCTTAACGAGACGAGTACACTAACAAGGCCGATGGAAAAGTAAGATAACCTTTTCCATCGAATAATATTCATTCAATTAGTTTTAATGTTGTATGTACGTGTGTGTGTGTGTGTTTGTCACACACATATATATATCGAACCGATTTATGGATCCTTTGAAATTTTCTATCGCATCTTTTCACTTTTGATTTCTAATCTAATCGTATTATTAAAATTACATTTATAAAAACAAATCCACAAATTTATATTATAAATAAATATTTTTAATGAAAATTATATTACGCGCCAATGTTTAATCTTAATCTCTTAATTTAATTAGATATTTT